TTTCATGTAATTTTTTGTGTTGATTGCCAGGCTCAGTTCCTATTAAGGATCCACTAATCATATAATTTTTACTAAATGAACTTAGTTTGCCAATATCTATAGCATCTAAATCCTCATTGCCTGAAAAGGATGTCTTAGTGGAGAACTTTGGAGATCTGGCCTTTACTGCCCCATCCCCTGCTATGGATCAAATTCTGTCCCCTAAAAGATATGTTGAAGTCTTAACCCCTGGTACTTGTGAACTCGACTTTGTTTGGAAGTTAAGATCTTTGCAGATGTAATCACGTTAATAAAAGGTTATTAGGGTGGGCACTAATCTGACTGTTCTCTTTTAACAAGAGATGAAGACACATACCATAAGTTGTGTACACAGAGAGAACATCCTATAACCTCAGAGGTAAAAGACTGGAGTAATGAATTTATAAACCAAGTGAGTCCAGGGATAGTTGGCAATTTTAGAAGCTAGTAAAGAGGCATGTAACAGATTCTCCACTAGAGACTTCAGGTAGATCGTGGCTCTGCTGACACCCTGTCTTTGGACATCAACTTCTAGAACTGTGGGAGAATGAATTTCTATTTTTTTACCCCATTTCTGGTAATTAGTTTTAGACAACTCTAGAAACTAATATATTATCTTCTCCCTGCTTGATCTTGGTCTACCTCATTATTATTCCTTGTTGGGTTTATATGTATAAAAAATAGTTCTTTGATTTTGGTTGAAACTGGGAATTTGATAAATAAAGTTACTTCTGGTAGTTGCAGAATCAGAATATGTTCCATTTGGCTTGTATTTTTTTTCCCCCTTTAAAGGACATTTAATTAGGAAGGAGACATGGATTGATATTACAACTCTCTGCTGGTCTTTTTTCATCACTATAAGTTAGTATGACCAATATTCTTAACCTTGTTAAATTTTTGCACAAGTTTTAAAATAACAATATAAAGCATTTTAAGATTGAGGACAAGGTTATATATGTATTTAGTACTTGTTATTGTCTGATACTTACATCTCTTTATTATATAGTTTTTTATTGTTGATGATATCCTTTCACATAAAATTTATTCTCTGTGGTCATAAAAACTTTCCTATTGATATTTWATAGAATGGATTTTTCCCTGTTAAGTTTATTAAACACCCGAACAGATAAGTCTTATACATTTCTAAAGGCTTTTTGTTAATAATACTCTGATTTACAGTTTATATATGACTTTTTCATTTGATGCCAGATAATATATTTTAAGATTAGAGAATAAATAAACATGCATGTATTCTAAAGAAAGGAAAATGCAATATTACATTAAATATATTAATAATCAGGATTTTCTTATAATTGAAATATCAGTGAAGCATTCATGTTCAAAGTCTTTTTTGTTTGTTTTGGTACCAGAGATTGAACCCAGGGGTGCTTAGCAACTGAGCCACATCCCCAGTCTTTTAAAAATTTTTCATTTTGATACAGGGTTTCACAGCTTAGGGCATGCCAAAGTTGCTGAGTATTTGAACTTGTGTTCCTCCTGCCTTTGCCTCCTGACCTGCTGGAATTACAGGTGTGTACCACCACACCAGGCTCAGAGTTCTTTTAAGAAAATATAGCCATTGACAAATGGAATAATCCATTCAGATACCAAACAACAGTGGGATAATTAGTTTTATAAGTTACTTCAGGAACTGGCTGAACTGCTTTGCATCAGATTTTTCTTAGTAGCATAAATAAATCAATGTAGAAAGAAAACTCATTGATCATTATTTTATTATGATATTCTATAAATACTGTATTTTGTATGTTTATAAAGCTTGTAATTTACTCAGTATATCCATGAACAGGGCAAAACTAAGACAGCTATAAAAGAGAAGTTGGCCAAATACCAATCCTAAAAAACAAAACAAAACCTATAAAGGTCTTAAGAAGATTTTGATTTAATTCACTGTACACAGAAAAGCAAGCAGAAAACTAATCACAATATTGGAACAAATTAAAGACCTAGAATTACAATTTCTGTGGTAATTATATCATATTGTCAAAATAATTTTCTTTGAAAGCAGTTTAATGGAAAGTTTACAATCATTAGAAGTGAGAGTGATTTTGATGGATCAAAATTAAAGACTAGAACATAGGCATGGAATGATACCGAGGGCTGTTAGGAAGACAGAGGGTTTACTATATTTGGTCTGATTCTAATCCAGAAAGAGAATTAGTTATTGATATGGAAATGTTGAATCATTTAAAGAATTGTGCATATAAAGAACCATTTATTCAGATAAAATTTTAAAAGAAGGAAAAAAAACCCTTTTGTTTAATATTCAGAGGAAAGACAGTTACAATGACCCTGAAACTGTAAAGGAAAGTTATACCTTCCTAGAATAATTATCTATGATAACTAAGAAATTCAGACAAAGAGAAGGGCCAGGGACTGATCTAGTTGCACAAGGTCCTTAAAATGTATTGACAGTATAAAAAAATTATATGGAAAAGGAGATATGTAACCAAAGGTGAATATAATAATAATTTAATTCTACTCATGAATAGAATAAACTAAGTCCTATTAAAAAATAAATAAAAGAATGAATGAGTGAAAATACTTTCTTTTGTTTAGGACAAAAAAATGAAGTAGATTAATAATAGGTAGTGTTACAGCACATGCAATTCTTCTATCTGTATTAATGCATTATTAGCCCAGTTAAATTGTAACTTAGATTGCTGAAAGGACTGACTCTTGTACCATTATTGTCTGGCTTAGAAGAAATATAAATGGAAGTAGTATTTCAAATTTGAAAATTTAAAAATCATTATGTATTGGAAGCTAAATTAAGTTTAGTTCACCAAATGTTAGATACCTCCTGTATACTAGGGATTATGCTAAGTTTGGGATAAGAAAAATGATAAATGGCTTGAACAGTTTACATTAAAACAGAGTCCCAGACATACACAATATGAATGAATGCTGTTTTAGAGGTTTATTGTAAAACATACAATTAAAAAAATAATCAATGTTCTTTTTTCATTTTCCTTTTTTACCCAAAAATCAGTCTTCAGGAAGATACCAACTAAAACCACAATTACACATCAGCAGTGACTAAAATATTGGCTAGATTGTGTAAAGCCAATGAATTTCTCATAACCTACCGGTGAGAAATTTAAGTATTAAAATCACTCTGGAAAATTTTTTGGCAGTATTCACATGTTCCATGACCCAATAATTCTACTCTTACACATATACCCAGGCAGAATTCTAAGGTGAGTCCCAAGGTACCTGTCTCTGGCATATACATACCTATTCCTCATAATTTAAACACTCATTCAGCTGGGTGAAAAAGCATTTTGCTGATAAATTCCAAAGTTAGTAAGCCTGATTTAATCAGGTAATCCTTCAAAATGTCCTGGATTCTTCCCAGTAAAAATTTGAGAGGGTAAGAAGGATTCATTGGGTGCTCGATATTTTCTTGCTGGCCTTGAAGATAGAGAGGATCACATAGTAAGGAATACAAAATAACCTCTAGGAGCTGAGAATGTACTCCCTGGCAGCAAGAAGATGAAGTTTCAGTCCTATAAGTAAGAAGCTGGATTTTACTAGCAACCAGAATGAATTTAGTAGTAGATTCATTCTTTCTCAGCACTTCCACAGAGGGATAAAGGAATACAACTTGGCTGTACTTGGATTTCAGCCTTGTAAGTCCCTGAGCAGAGAACCCTAGGCATGCAGTGTCTGGACATCTGACCAACAGCAACTGTGGAATAATATACGGGTGTTGTTTTAAGCCACTAATTTTGTGGTAATTTATTATAGAGCAGTAAAAAAGTAATACAAATTTGATATCTAAAAATCACTGCAACACATGCAGTCATGCATTGCTTAATGATAAGAATATGTCATGTCAAATGTTTTGTTATTTTCATTCTAATATGAACATCATAAAGTGTATTTAAATGAAGATGGCACTAGGCAATAATCTTATGGAACTACTGTTATGTCTTTGTTCACTGACAACTTTGCCACCTTTGATAGAACTCAGAAAATAGAGCACTTACCTAATACTTCCTGTCCCCCATTATTGTTTCAGATGTTAGACTAACTATCCAGTTAAACCTGTGTTTTAAAAGTATAAGAATAACCATTAAAAGAACAGAAAATATAAAACATTAGAACCAACAGAGGAGGGGAAAAAAGAATGAAGAAAATGAATCAGTAATGGTCATCAAAACATAAATGATGAGAATAAAAAGATGGAAGAAATAAGGTCAATGATATCAGTAGTCAAGATCATTGTTAATATGCCAGATTTGTCTACTAAAATTTTGAGATTTTCAGATTGGACTTAAAAACAACTCAGTAGAATGTAACCTTAAATTGTACTATATAAACTTAAAAGCATAATTACACAAAGGGAAATGGAAAGAAATAGAGGATAAAATGCAGATCATGAAAAAAAATATATGTAAGGTTGGTATGGAGAAAATATTAGTTTCACTGAAGGATGAAAGAAATTCTGAACAAATGTAGGACTTCTTAGGAAGGAATAAAAAAGCTTTAAATATCACTTCTCCCCAAATCAATCTATAAATTCAGTAGAATTCCGATCATATGTATGTTCTTCATAGTTTATCTTATCTAATTCATAGTATTACTATTCATGGTCTAACAGTGATTATTATCATTGTATATTATTGCGTATTATCATCATTGTTTATTTTCACCAGAGGTATTGGAATTAAAGCTTATAGGTTAAAGGTTACACAATGAGTGATGTAGCCAGATTTGAGACATGCTAACTTCAAAACTCCTCTTTTTTTCAAACATTCCATGCTATCTGTTTAGTATATGACCTTGTGTAAGTTGATTTAACATAATTAAATATTAATCACAATGAGTAAATACATCTAATGGTTGTATATCATTTTTGCTTCTCTTGAATCGCTACATCATAATTAACTCGTTAACACAGTCAGTAAAACTTGGCAGGCATTTTTCTTATTTCCTTTTACATATATTTTCTCTTGCAGGGTTACATTTTGCCATCTACCTTTCCAGAGTAAGTGGCTCTATGTGGGTACTGAACGAGGTAATATACATATTGTCAATGTGGAGTCCTTCACACTCTCAGGCTACGTCATTATGTGGAATAAAGCCATTGAACTGTGAGTTTGARCAAATGTTCAATATATAAAGTATCAGTATCCTATTCGATAATATCATTTTAAAATAGCCAATCAGTAAATCCATATGAAACTAAGTATGTGTCAGATGTCTTGATATCTAATTAGGATTTGTTAGTCTTTTGTAAATATTATCCTATTGGCATGGCAGTTTGTAAATTTAAATGCTTTATATGTTTAAATAGATTAATATACACCATTACATGTACATATATTTAAATATGTATAAACTGCAAAACAAGTTTAATGAGATTATCTTAATTTTAATAAGTTAAAGAACATGATTTTTTAAAATTCTTTAATCTTTTTAATTTTTCTTTTAAATGTTTGTCATGATTCACAGATAGGCTCACAGAATTTAGATGATCTTGATCTACAGTACTTCTTTGATATGATTTAATAATCAATATGTATAATGCAGATATTTGCTGAAGTGAATGTATTACAGAGTTAATTATGAAATTAATTATACTTAATTTTGATTCAGTGATGATTTTTTTTAATTTACCAATATTAACAAAAACTTGTCCCTAAGGATCTTTCATGCTAACTTTTCACTCTTAAAGATTTTTTTTGTGTTTTATCTTTCTACACATTTTTTTCTTGTGTTGTTTGGATAGGCAAATAAATGTTTAAAGATATTAACAAGATGTTTTTTCAGTGTTTCCTTTTATTTTTAAACAAATACTCTTGTTTTGCATCCTACAATATTTGTCTTTTTGATACAAGGATAATTTTGTGACATGTCTCTAAATGTGTCTGGGTAGCTATAATAGTGTATTAAGACTGGCTTTCCCTCCTATGGCAGGAATGTCATTAGCATATATCAGTTTCTTGGTAAGGTGGGTTTTCGAGTCTGTTTTTTGACTTGATCATGACATCTAGTGGGTAGGCCTTGTTTGGGCGTCTACAATTTCATAAACTTTCATAAGGTGGAGTGGTTTTTTAGCCTATAGAATTTATGAACAAGGGGTATACTTTTTCCTAATGTATCAGCATTTCAGGCATATTCTTATCTAGATGACTTCTTTTTCTCTGATAGAAGTACAGGTGACATTACTTTGTCAATTTTTAAAAATGTAATAGAATTTTTCCTGTTCTGGTAAGAATTTTGGAACTTGGCAAGATGCCCAAGTTGGAGACTACTAGTAAAATAAAATATTAATGTTTTAAATGCTATACTATTTAAAAATATTAACTTTAAGGTTTCTATCAGGAAAATAGGTTTACTTTGCTGAAATCTTTGACTAAATTGAAAATTCTTTTCTACATAAAAAGTGTATTTAATTGTAAATTTAGTTGACATGTATCAACTTGAATGTGACTTGTAGTGTATTTGCCCTGGTTCCTAATGTGATTCTTATTAAGAACTATATAGTTGTTATTGAATACTTTCTGAAATGCTTTCTTCCTTTATAAGTAAATCTTTATTTTTATTCTTGCAATTAATATGTATCTGTTTTGAAATTTTTTAATTGAGAAACATATCTATCTTAACTTTTCTTTTTTTTCTTAGATCATCTAAATCTCACCCAGGGCCTGTTGTCCATATAAGTGATAATCCAATGGATGAGGGAAAGGTAGAATCTTATCTTAAAATTTTTTCGTTATTTAAATGCATGATTTTTGTGTTTTTAAACATGCAAACTATTCTAGGACCACATGCTGAAAAGTTGAGATTGCTAATAAAGATTGTATATCGTATGCACTTAAGGGTTTGTTTTTCAAGTCATATAAGTAAAAGAATCAGAATGATTTGTAATTTGAAAAAGCAAAGATACACTAAAGCATAAGTAAAATTTAATTATTAATTGCAAATAGTAAGCATAATTTAAATACTTTCAATGATTTCAATAATTTAATAAATTAAAATTATTAATTTGTATTTGGCTTAATCAAAATATTTTCCCTGATTTTCTGATAAATTGGACAAAAAGTTTGGTCCAGGGTTCCTTTTAACATTTTAGTTATGTAGTTTTTATAGTGCTTTTCATTTATTGCTTTATGTTAGAGTTATCTTTATATCTCATTTCCCTTAAATTTTCTTTATGATTCCAGTTACTAAGGGAGAGGCTTTTTGAAATGTTCTTTAAGTTTTGTATAATTTGAGATTTTTTGAAATGTTATTTAATTTTTAAGTGTGGTAAAGGATGAAGCTGAAAAGGCAAGAAATAGATATACCATTGTAGTACGTCGTGTTATAGAATTTGAACTTTACCTTAAAAATAATAATAAGGCCATTAAAGAGCTTTAGGTGGAAGCATACATAACCCTGTTGATTTGCATTTTTTAACTGTACTCTAGCTCCAATATGGAATGGGTTAAAATAGAGTCGAGGAGAACAGAAAGGATATCTGTATATCTTGAACCACTATGAAGATACTGGGGATGGAAGGACATAATTTAGAAAGATAAGAGAATGTAATCTTAAATTTACTTGTTTTTTTTATTACATGTTGAGGGAGGAACTAGAGTTACAGATGATCCTTGTGTTTCTGGCTRGAACATCTGAATAAATGTGGTGTTAAGGAATAGTGAAAGAGACCTGATGACAGCGAATGCCAGAGAAACTGAGAAGAGAAGGATGTAATTAATTCATGTTGAATATGTTTACTTAGAGGTTCTAAGAAAGATAAGCAATGATATCATCATTGGAAAGATGTACCTAAGTCTCATGAAGAGTTTCTAGGCTGTTTATGATTTAGAACTAATCAATATATTGATTTAGTGAGATTGCCTGAGAAAGTGCAGAATTTGGAAAGTTTATAATTTCTAAAGCACATACAAATGTTAATTTTTATTAGTAATTTATTAAAATTTATTAGTGAAAATGTGTGCGTAGAATGTACTTTTTTCTTTTTCAAAATGTATGTTGAGTCCCTTATCAAAGGCATATAAATATGCAATTCAGTGTTCTTATTTGCCATCTATGTGATTAGTAACTGGCAATGACAGCATTTAGTTATAATTTATACTTGAAAGATATGAATGATAATAGTTACGTTTTATATAATAGAATATAATAAACATTTTATATAATAGAAAATCATCCCTAGATAATGTGGCTTTTTCTTTTATTATAGCTTTTGATTGGCTATGAATCTGGAACAGTAGTCTTATGGGACCTCAAATCAAAGAAAGCTGACTATAGATACACATATGATGAGGTAACAGCATTTCTTTTGCTAATAAAAGCTGTTTTCATTTCTCTAATTCAAAACACCTTCTCTAAGAATTTGTTGATTTTAGTTTAGATAACCCATGTAATTGCACTAAAATGTAGGTTGTTCTCCCATTATTAATTTATTCAAATAATTCAAAAGATACAAAATTGTCCACTCCTATTTGGTGACCTAATTCCCTTACAGGTAGGTAATTCAATCAATTTCTCATGTATTCTTCCTGAGAGTTTATGTATATTTAAAAGTAAATTCATAAATATGTTTTATTTTTTCTTTTGTATTGATAAGTGTTATATAGTTTGCTTGCTTTATAGTCCAAATAAGGCAAATAATAGAGGCTCATAAACTGAAGGATAAAAAACAGAATAAAGATTGTGATTGAATTATAAGCCTTTTAAATTAAGTCTTTTTTAATCTATAGGCCTTTTTTACTCACTCCTCGCCTTCTTTCCTTATGTGGCTCCTCCTTTTGGTCACTTATTTTTTGACAATTTAGTCTCCCAGACATTCTGTATTTCTGTTTGCATCCTCATTGTCTTTAACATCTTTTTWAAAAAATATCTTATTTTGTTTATTTGTTTTTATGTGGTGCTTAGCATTGAACCCAGTGCCTGTCTCACATGTGACAGGCAACTGCTCTGCCACTGAGCCCCAACCCCAGCCCCAACATCCTTTTTTTTTAAGACATTTTTTTCTTCCCCTCAAATTACCTATAAATTGGATGGCCTATGAGGCTTGATCAAATTCAGGTTCATTTTTCATTTTTAGCAAGACTATTTCATAGATGATGCTGATACTCTTCCATCAGTTGGATCCCCATCTGTTACTGATATTGGCAGTCTGTGGTGCTAAAGACCTCGATCTTCTAATGCCCAAGTGGTTGCAAATAGATTTCTTCTCTATAGTAAAAGAGAAACTTCCTCTTATGCTGGTTGGTTCTATAATAATACTGTTTATATAGCAGAAGTAGAATAAATGCTGAATTCATAATCTTTATTTTGGTACATGTTAAGCATTCCTAATCTGAAAGTCCAAAATCTGAATTATTCCAAAATGGTGCTTTTTGAGCACCATTCAAAATATTAAGTATTTGGGGGGTTGGGATTAAGACTATTTAGTGGGTCAAATCTATGCAAATATTCCAAAATCCAAAAAACTTTGAAATCTGAAACACTTCTGTTTCAGTCATTTCAAATAATCAACCTGTATTTGCTCCAAAGAGATTATTTTCTAGGAATCTCAGTGATAAAGCAGTTTAAYTTTATAACATTTTCACTGTGTGCTTAATGATTGAGCGATATAATGTATGTTAGTCCATTAAAGTTATTATTTATATTGCTTTTCAAATTGTGCCAGTGAACCTGTGTCTTGGTGATAATCATATATACCCCTGAGTCTTGGTAATAATCCTATATTCTTGGATAGCTTCCTTGCTATCTAATTTTAAAAAGATTTTTACTGATCTTTTTTTATCCTCAACCAAACTTAAAATAAGATTTCTTTTCTTTCTTTCTTTCTTTCTTTCTTTCTTTCTTTCTTTCTTTCTTTCTTTCTTTCTTTTCTTTTCTTTTCTTTTCTTTTCTTTTCTTTTCTTTTCTTTCTTTCTTTCTTTCTTTCTTTCTTTCTTTCTTTCTTTTCTTTCTTTTCTTTCTTTTCTTTCTTTCTCTCTCTCTCTCTCTCTCTCTCTCTCTCTCTCTCTCTCTCTCTCTCTCTTTTGGTACTTGGGATTGAACTCAGGGCACTCAACCACTGAATCATATCTCCAGTCCTATTTTTTTTTTAATTTTTTTTATTGAGAGACAGGTTCTCATTGAGTTGCTTAGTGCTTTGCCATTGCTGAGGCTGGCTTTGAACTTGTGATGCTCCTATCTCAGCCTCCCAAGTTGCTGGGATTACAGGCATGCACCATTATGCCTGGCAAAATAAGATATTTTGCCATGGAATTATGGCAAAGTTTTTTGTTTTTTTGATTGCGTGTGTGTGTGTGTGTGTGTGTGTGTGTGTGTGTGTGTTTTGGTGTGAAACAGTAGCTGGCATCATGACTTGGATACTGGGATTTTATGGTTTTCCATTCCATGAATAAAGCTATTGCTAGGAAATGTGTAAGTGGTTTTATCTCTTTAAGATAAAATGTGAGTTACGCTTTCATATTGAAACATTGTTACTCAAGGACAGACTGAATTGGGTAATTACAGCAATACTTTGAATACTTTGCAAATGCTTGCATATTAAGCATACTATATGTGACCAAAAGTAATTTCCTTTTTATTCATAACATCATACTATTTGTTTCTCATGAATCAAGATCTTCAAATTAAAAAAAAATTTTGAATAAAGAGTTTTTATTATTTCTCTAAAAGTTTCTTGTAGAATTGAAAGCACATTTTTTAAAACTTATTTATTTTTTATTAGTTCTAATCAATTATACACAATAGCAGAAAGCTTTGTGATTTACTGTGCACAAATGGAGCAGAATTTTCCACTCCTCTGGTTGTACATGAAGTAGAGTCACACCATTTGTGCAATCATATATGTACTTAGAGTAATGATGTCCATCACATTCCATCATAGTTCCTACCCCATGCCCTCCCCTTCCCTTGGCCCCATCCAAAGTTCTCCACTCATCTCATGCTTCCTAATGCCATTATGGATTAGCATCCATTTATCAGAGAAAACATGGTCCCTCCTTTTTTGGGATTGGCTTATTTCGCTTAGCATGATATTCTCCAGCTCCATCCACTTACCTGAAAATGCCATAATTTTATTCTCTGAAAACATATTTTTAAAACTGACTTTTTTGGTTTTGGTTTTTATAAATTTAAAAAGTAATCTTGTTTTAATCTATTATTGAGCCACGGGAATTAGATTTACCTTTTTACCTTAAGCAAAGAAACTGGACACTGTACGTGCAACCATAGTTTTCAGTAGTTTCACGGCAGGTAGTATATAGGACAGGATTTTGTAGACAAAGGAAATTAGCAAGGTACCAGACAGCAAAGAGTTGCCTAGAGAGTTTTAGAAGTTGGCAGAAGGCTTGCCATACCTAATCTTCATTTTATTATTGATTAGTGCATAAGTGTAAGGTTTCAAAAAAATCCATTGGAAAGGAATATGTGGGTAAAATAAAAGTTTTCTTATGTTTTAAAATCTCTATAAGAAGTCATTATTATTCAAATTAATTATAATTACAATGCAGTATAGCTGGGCATAGTGGCATATGCCTGTTATGCCAGTGATGCAGGAGACTGACACAAGAGGACACAATTTAGACCCTTTCTCAAAGTAAATATAAAAAGGGTTGGGAATGAAGCTCACTGGTAGAACACTCTTATATTCAGTTCTCAGTAACACACACACACACACACACACACACACACACACATGCTAATGCATGATAGAGTTTATGACATATGTATAATTAAAACATGGACAATAGTGTGAACGTCAAAAGACAATACTGTTGTAAGATTATTATACTGTATTTGACATGGTATAATATTATATAATGGTTGACCAAGGCAAGTTAAACATATCCATTTTTTAATCCTAAAGGAAATAACAAAAGCAGCAATACTAGCAACTCAAAAGCTAAGCTGAAGAGAAATGAAATTTAAAAAATATTCAAAGTAAGGCAAAAGAAGAGGGAAAAAATTTAAAAAAAAAATAGATGGGAAGAACAGTGAACAAATTGTAAGATGGTTGTTTAAAGCCCAGCTATATCAGTTTTCATATTAATGGTTTAAATACCCCAATTAAAAGATATTGTCTAGATTGCATAAGAAAAAGCAAGACTACATACTAACTACATACTCTATAAAAAATCCATTTTTAAAGACACAGGTGTTAGAAAGGAAGAAAAATTAATGTTAGCACAAATTAAAAAAAAAAATGGAAGGGCTAATTATTTAACAACAGACTAAGATAGGAACCTGCACTAAAATGGGCCATATTTAATGCCATAAAGTCAATTTTATTTCATTTGAAAAGTTTAAATTATAGCAAATATTATTTTCCTGATAGGGTTAAATTAGAAATTAATTACTAAAAGATTATGGGAAAAATCTATATAAGTACATGAAAGGGAAACAACATACTTCGAAATAACCTACAAGTCAAAGGAGAAAACTCAAGGGAAATTAGAAAGTATTTTAAACTGAAAAAAATAGTATTGAAGTCTGTGGGATGCCACTGTAGAATTTGAAGTTTTCTAATTAGTGACCTCAGTTTCTACCACAAGGAAAAAAAAAAAAACCTAGAAGAAAAAGAGAAAATTTAACTCAAAGTAAGCCCTAAAAATTGAAATAATAAAGAGGAAAAAAATCAATGAAATAAAAAACAATAGAGAAAATTGAGTAAAAAGCTAAATATTTGTGAGAATCAATGAAATTGATAAATATGTAGTGAGAATAATGAGGCAAATAAAAAATACAGATTGCCCATACTAGACATAAGACAGAAAATATCACTAATTTTTACAGAAATATAGAGGGACTCAAAAGAAATTCCGTCATGGGCTGGGGACATAGCTCAGTTGGTAGAGTGCTTGCCTCGAATGCACAAGGCTCTGAATTCAAAAAAAGTTATAAAATCAATACCATTCATAAAATTAATCTTATATAACTTTGAACAGAACATAAATATTGGGGAAGAGTTTAGAAAGTATTTTGTTAAAGTTTAAAATTTTTGACAGTCACTAATAATGAACAATTCTATATATAATAATTTCTAAACTGTCTAAACTCCCCCTGGAAACACCTGCACTGAAATTCAAATATAAAACATTTCAACATGAACCAAGAGCAATGATATAATAGCATGAACTTATGGCTGTAAAGTCAGTTGCTCAGTTTACTGAAGAACAATTAAGAACTAWTAAGAATGAAAAGGTATCCTCTTATGATGTAAAGTAATTTAAAGAGGATTTGGAGAAGTGATTTTTTAAAACAAAATTTACAAACTAATAATAATAATAATAAGATAAAAATGGAGGGGTAGTCTACTCTAGTTATATAAAAATAGTTTCCAGATAGAGGCTCAGTAGTGTAAAAGTTTCTGGCCAGAATATGAGTTTCTTCAGATTAAAACTTGTCTCGGCAATTACTGTGAGAATTAGAGAATATGTCTTGAAGTTCATTCTGAAATTTATTTATTACTTTTATTTTCAAATCTACATTTTGCTACTTTGTATTTTAGTTACTTTAAAAAAATTATAATCTCTCAATGTAACTACTTTTTGCAACGGGATATTCATTGTAATAACTTATTTATATTTAGTGGTGATTTATTCCGAAAAACTATAGGAATACATTTTGTTTTCCTAAACTTGTCAATAGTATATATGTCATTGTCAAATATTCCTTAAGAAGTAAAATAATTGAGTAACAAAAACAGCATGGTATTGGCACCAAAACAGACTGGTAGACCACCGGTACAGAATARAGGACACAGAGACTAACCCACAAAACTACAATTATATTAGACAAAAGTGCCCAGAACATGCACTGGAGAAAAGATAGCCTCTTCAGCAAATGGTGCTGGGAAAACTGGAAATCCATATGCAACAAAATGAAATTAAACCCCTATCTCTCACCATGTACAAAACTCAACTCAAAATGGATCAAGGACTTAGGAATACAACCAGACACCCTGTGTCTAACAAAAGAAAAAGTAGACCCTAATCTCCATTATGTGGAATTAGACCCCAACTTCCTTAATAAGACTCCTGTGGTGCAAGAATTAAATTCAAGAATCAATAAATGGAATGGACTCAAACTAAAAAAACTTCTTCTCAGCAAAAGAAACAATCTGTGAGGTGAATAGAGAGCCTACATCTTGGGAGCAAATATTTACCCTTCACACATCAGATAGAGCACTAATCTCTAGGATATATAAAGAACTCAAAAAGTTAAATACCACAAAAACAAATAACCCAATCAATAAATGGGCCAAAGACCCAAAGAGACACTTCTCAGAAGATGATGTACAATCAGTCAACAAATATATGAAAAAATGTTCATCAATCACTAGCAATTAGAGAAATGCAAAACAAAACCACTCTAAGATTTCATCTCACTCCAGTCAGAATGGCAGCTATTATAAATACAAACAACAATAAGTGTTGGCGAGGATATGGGGAAAAAGGTACACTGCTGGTGGAATGCACAGTGGTGCAGCCAATATGGAAAGCAGTATGGAGATTCCTTGGAAAATTGGGAATGAAACCGCCATTTGACCCAGCTGACCCTCTCCTCAGCCTATACCCAAAAGGACTTAAAAACAGGGACACAGGCACATCAATGTTTATAGCAGCTCAACTCACAATAGCTAAACTGTGGAACCAACCTAGATGCCCTTCAATAGATGAATGGATAAAAAAAAATGTGTCATATATACACAATGGAATATTACTCAACAATAAAAGAGAATAAAATCATGGCATTTTCAGGCAAATAGATGGAGTTAGAGAAGATAATGCTAAGTGAAGTTAACCATTCCCMAAAAATCAAATGCCGAATGTTTTCTTTGATATAAGGAGGCTAATTCATAGTGGGATATGGAGCAGCAGGAGATGGGAAGAATAGAAAAACTCTAGATAGGGCAGAGGGGTTGGAGGGGAAGGGAGGGGGCATGGGGTTATTAATGATGGTGGAATGTGATGATCATTATTATCCAAAGTACAGATATGAAGACACGAATGGTGTAAATATGCTATGTATACAACCAGAGATATGAAAAATTGTACTATATATGTGTAATGAGAATTGTAATGCATTCTGCTGTCATATATAAATAAAAAAAGAGGTAAAATAATTGAAAGGAATTAAAACATTGTCAGTATGAAATAAAATCTCTGTATTTCAAGAATGCTAAATTTTGGGAAAGTAAAGTTAACATTGATTTCAGCTTGGAAAATATAAAAAGAATTTAAAATAAAAATTCATTATAAAACTATTTATGATAGGTTTGATATTTAAGTTTGAAAAATGAAATTCTTTTTCCTTCGTCTTTAGGCTATTCACTCTGTTGCTTGGCATCATGAAGGAAAACAATTTATTTGCAGTCATTCAGATGGTACCTTGACCATCTGGAATGTGAGGTCCCCTGCTAAGCCTGTACAGACAATCACACCACATGGTAAGAATACCTTGATTTTAAATACTTCTTGGATTATAACATAAACTCTTTGTTTTTTGAGTTTGCTTTTGTGTTTGTCCAGTTTTTAATGAATATTGTATTTATTTAATGTGATATTTCCTCTTTTGAATATCATTTCTTTAGTAATCCAAAAAGCAAATGGTCTTTTGAGTGAGGTAGGACTCTAAGCTTTTGTCATCTTAAAGCTATCACTTGCAAGTTGTCAGTGTTATATGAAACAATGTGCTTCAAACAGGCGTACCTCTATAGGATGAATTTTATACATTAAATTTGGGATTTGAGTGTTCCCAGTTTATCCCAGATTTAACGATTGACTGGGAAGACTCTCAGGACTCAGCATATAGTCATATTGCAATTGTGATTTATTACTGCAAAAGAACATAGAGCAAAATTGTCAAAGGGAAAAGGCACTTGTATAAAGTATGGATAAAAGTAAGTTTAGTYTTCCAAGAGCCCTCTCCTCATGGAGTTATGTTGGATATGCTTCATCATTCTAGCAGTGAGTTGTTGTTACCACATGTGAGAAATTTTATCTATCAAATAAGCTCACCTGAGCCTGTGCGTTTTCATTGTTCGTCATATAGGCTTTAGCATGTACCCAAATTCCAGATTCCCAGAAGGAAAGTAGAGGTTCAGCATAAACTACTTTTTCTGTTCAACAGTGAGGCACAGTGATCCAACCGTATCAGTCAGGTAATAATGGGAGCTGCCTCAAAGGGCAAAGTCCCAGACACCAACCAAAAGGTTAATTTGCAAGTAGATTTTTCTAGGGATAGCAGTCTCTGGCCTGCTGTATTAACTTTTTTTTTCTGTATAAATAGGATTTTAAAAACTACTATGAAAATTGTACTAGGTTATTTATTAAAGCTGAATTAAGAAGGCCTCTTTTCATTTTGAATCTATATTTTTTTTGGATCAATCTGAATTCTCCATCCCTAATCCAAGAGAATTCTTCCTGAGCAATTTAGAGAAATCACATTTAAAGAAACTATTATAAACTGATAATAATAAAAGAGAATCTTTATAGCTATTGCTAATATTTCATTTCTTGTTTTAAATATAAATAATCACTTTCTAAATATTCTGAGTTATTGCTATATTGATATTAAAGAAAACAGTAAAATTAAAAACAAATTTTATCTGTCTGTGGCAGTATGGGTTTTTAGGCATCTGTTCCTGTGAGAATAGCAATTCTTGACATCAAGATATACTCTACCATTGCTCTGTAATAAGAATCATCTGCTGGAAAAACACTTACTTTAATAAATTTGCTGCAGGGCTATTTACAAGTGAATCTAGAATATATCCCTTATGATAGTAGGTTTTAGTTTTTCTTAGTGTATTTTTCTTCTTTCTTTCATTAATGCCTAGGTTCCTAATCTTGTTGATACTCTTGAAAATTCTCATAAGTCTTAGAATCCTCTAACCCCACTGGGAAATCTAGAAAATTTAGAAAACCCAAAAAGTAGAGATAAGGGCAATTAGCTCAAACACCTTTCCTTTCAAATTCAGAAGAAAATATAACTAGTATCAAGGATAGTAGAAATATATAATGATGCTATTGCATCTTGAARTTTATCTGTTTTTTCTTTCAAAGAATAGTACTAGGACTGGAGGTGTAGTTCAGCAGTAGAGCACTTAACCTAGCATTTGCAAACCCAAGGTTCAATACCCAGCATTGCAATATTGCAATAAAAAGAAAGTGCTAAGTGCATTTTCTCTTTGAAACCATAGTTGCTATAGTGCCCAATCACCCCTAATTATTCTATGGTGTGTGTGTGTGTGTACGCGCATATGCCCCCCCCATATATATATATATATATATATTTTTTTTTTCCTAATAAAACTTTCTCCTCTCAACAAGTTTTGTTTTTTATAAGAAAATACTGCATGTTAATTAGATTTGGTTGCAATGTTTCTTCAGTCTTTAAAATCTGGAACAGTTATTGAGCCCTTTTTTTGTTTTGTTTTTAACTTTCATATCAGGTAAATTATAAAAATTATTAAGCACTTATTTTGTGCATAAATGTGCTTCAGTATTGCCTGATGTTTTCTCATGATTACATTCAGGTTGCACTTTTTTGGCAGCATATCCTAGAGAGATTATAATGTATTATTTTTTAAAAATTTTATTTTTTTTTATTATTTCTTACATACATGACAATAGTGGAGTGCATTACATTCATAATTTTTTGCATTACAATTTTTAATACACCTTTATACCACAGTTTATCAAATCTCTGTTTGTACATATGTTATGTTGACACCAAATTTACATCTTCATACATGAACTTTGTATAATGATGACCGTCTCCTTCCACTGTCCTTATTATTTTTACATCTTCTCAAGTAAAACCTTTTGTGTGTGTGCTCTTGGGAATGGAACACAGGGCCTACCTCATGCTAGCTAAGCACTTTACCACTGAGTTCCACCTCTAGCCCCCAAACTTATTTTTTCTTTCTCTCATATTTGCAGTATCTTTTGATTCCTTGATTAGGAATCTGTGTGCTGTGTCGCTACTATAAACTTATTCTTTTTCCCTTTGAAATTAAGTATTTTTAATTTATATTATCAATAAGGATGTTGATATGAATTAGTTTCTTTGAGATTATATGCATACTGCTACTCATCAGACTTTTTCCCTCTAATTTTGGTATCTATTGATGTTTCCTAGCTCAATTATTACTCTAATATTGCCAAGTAATAACTTTTTWAAAAAAATCTAATCTTGTTTTTGTTTTTGTTTTTTATACTATGAACAGGTCTTTAAGAGCAGACTTTATAAGTCTATAAGTCAGTCTCTACAATGTTTGTAGTGTGTTAGAAAAGGATCATTAGCTAAAATTATTTTTAAACCAGTAAGATAAAGAATATTTGACTTACTATCTTAGAATTAGAATCCAAACAAAATGTAAATATGGCTTTTGTTGTCCAATATAGTAGTCTAAATGTAGGTGGTCAGAATTTTATTTAATTWATTTATTTACTTACATAAAATACTGTTTGATTTGTATGCATATTTCTGTTATGAATTGTTTTTTTACAATGTTTCTGAAGTGACTATGCTCTATTCTGTTTGAAGAATGGCCTTTTAGTTGCATAGCCAAAGAAATTTAGTATTTTCTGATTCCTTAAGGTGTTATATTATTTTGTCAAGGAATATTATTATTTTTTAAAGTATTCGGTAAATATTTTGACAATGACCTTTTGAAATAGCCATAAATTAGAAAGATAATGTCACAACTAAGGTGATTTTTTAAAAAAAAATTATAAAAACCGAACTACAATAAGGTATGAATTTGTCATACTGTTAAAATTGGTAACAATGTGTATTCACTCCCAGTTTATAGAATTTTTGAGTTTAAAAGTTAAGGAAATTTTTATTTTATTATATTTTAAAATAATTTCTAAGTGTTAACAGCAAGACTGCGTATAATTCTAGTTTTTATTTTCTATGGAACAGACTTGATAAACTGGAGACCCTGAAGCAGGAATACCCAAATAGTAGTATCTGGATTTTAGGTGTAACAGAGGCCTTTATGTGCTACACATAATTTGTACAAACTTTTATATATACAAATTGGATACAAAAATAGTTATCCCTTTTCCTAGGGGAATGCAGTAAATGTACCATGGTGAATAAATATAACTTTTATAATCCCCAAAAGATAAAATAGAGTTATTTTATTTTATACAAATAATTCATACTTTTAAAATATGAATTCTAAGAGTTCTATTCTTGTTTATTACTTACTTATTAACTTATTGTTGGTGGTATATAACCTACTAAAGCAGTTTTGTGTTCACAACTGAGTTCCATGGCAAAGTCATGTCCATTTTGATATAGTAAAGTACAGAGATATGATTTATATATCTTGTTGTGGTATGTGTATCTGTTCTTTACATATGATATTTGTGATACATAATTTTCAGAATAACAACTATCTGTTGATGAATTGAAATTTAGTTCTTTTGGGGCTGGGGTTGTGGCTCAGTGGTAGAGCACTCACCTAGCACGTGAGAGACACTGGGTTCAATCCTCAGTTCCACATAAAAATAAATAAATAAAATAAAGGTTAAAAAAATATATATAAATTTAGTTCTTTTTTTTTTTCTCATTGTTGTCTTCTATTATGGTCTCTTGATCTTAATTTTAGCCAAACAGCTATGGCAAATTACTTTAAATCTACTAGAGTTTTAAAATTTTGTACATTTTTGGTTTTTTAAATTTAAACCTACCTAATAGTTATTCAAGTATCTTAGTCTTGGAAAGCATTTATAGTATTACCTTGATAGTCAGGAACTAATTGAACTCCTACTAGTATTTTACTTTAATGTTTATTGTTACAGGGTTTCATACTTAAAATAGGTGAAGATAGCCTTGAAGAATGTGTTCACAAGATTTATTATTACATTAGCCTAAAGAGATTTTAAYTCCAAAAGACACACATGTGGTTATAGCCTTTTAGTTCCATAGTTTTTGGTTCTGTTAAGTTGGTTAATGTTTCTGAACCTCATTATTCTTATGTATAAATAGAGATAATAATGAAAGTTAATATGGSCTCTTCACGTGGTTGTGAGGATTATATATGTTCATTCAATAAATATTTATTGGTTCCACTGTATGATAAGTACTATTCTAGGTATGAATCATATAAGCAATATGTAAGTAAAAGTACCTGGAAATTATTAGGTGCTATAAATGTGTGATTCTAGTAAATACAAATCTGGAAGGATAGATTAGTTTTCAAAAATATAGTTCACAAATAGTATTTATTTTTTTCTTATTGATGAGTTATTTGGTCTAAGAAGTATGTAATTGTCAAAGAGGTTTTAGAAATGCTAAATTAAGTTTTTATTCACTATAAAACACAATAGGTGATTTTTGACTCCTTAAACAAAATGTGATAGCTCTCTTTAATCCAGTTTCCATGATATCAAAAAACATTTCYTTGGCAACTAGAAAACCTGAAACCTA